GATTCATTTTATCTCGTGTAATGCAACGCATTATTTTCAAATAAACAATGAATGCCATGAAAGTGACATTCACTTTATCTCGTGTAATGCAATGCATTAGTTTCAAATAAACAGTGAATGCAATGAAAGCGAGATTCATTTTATCTCGTGTAATGCAATGCATTAGTTGCAAACAAACAATGAATGCCATGAAAGCGAGATTCATTTTATCTCGTGTAATGCAATGCATTAGTTTCAAATAAACAACGAATGCCATGAAAGCAAGATTCATTTTATCTCGTGTAATGCATTGCATTAGTTTCAAATAAACAATGAATGCCATGAAAGCGAGATTCATCTTATCTCGTGTAATGCAATGCATTAGTTTCAATTAAACAATGAATACCATGAAAGCAAGATTCATTTTATCTCGTGTAATTCAATGCATTAGTTTCAAATAAACAATGAATGCCATGAAAGTGACATTCACTTTATCTCGTGTAATGCAATGCATTAGTTTCAAATAAGCAATGAAAGCCATGAAAGCGAGATTCATTTTATCTCGTGTAATGCAATGCATTAGTTTCAAATAAACAATGAATGCTATGAAAGAGACATTCATTTTTTTCTCGTGTAATGCAATGCATTAGTTTCAATTAAACAATGAATACCATGAAAGCAAGATTCATTTTATCTCGTGTAATGCAATGCATTAGTTTCAAATAAACAATGAATGCCATGAAAGCGAGATTCATTTTATCTCGTGTAATGCAATGCATTAGTTTCAAATAAACAATGGATGCTATGAAAGCAAGATTCATTTTATCTCGTGTAATGCAATGCATTAGTTTCAAATAAACAATGAATGCCATGAAAGCAAGATTCATTTTATCTCGTGTAATGCAATGCATTAGTTTCAAATAAACAATGAATGCCATGAAAGCGAGATTCATTTTATCTCGTATAATGCAATGCATTAGTTTCAATTAAACAATGAATGCAATGAAAGCGAGATTCATTTTATCTCGTGTAATGCAACGCATTAGTTTCAATTATACAATGAATACCATGAAAGCAAGATTCATTTTATCTCGTGTAATGCAACGCATTAGTTTCAAATAAACAATGAATGCCATGAAAGTGACATTCACTTTATCTCGTGTAATGCAATGCATTAGTTTCAAATAAACAATGAATGCAATGAAAGCGAGATTCATTTTATCTCGTGTAATGCAATGCATTAGTTGCAAATAAACAATGAATACCATGAAAGCGAGGTTCATTTTATCTCGTGTAATGCAATGCATTAGTTTCAAATAAACAATGAATGCCATGAAAGCAAGATTCATTTTATCTCGTGTAATGCATTGCATTAGTTTCAAATAAACAATGAATGCCATGAAAGCGAGATTCATCTTATCTCGTGTAATGCAATGCATTAGTTTCAATTAAACAATGAATACCATGAAAGCAAGATTCATTTTATCTCGTGTAATGCAATGCATTAGTTTCAAATAAACAATGAATGCCATGAAAGCGAGATTCATTTTATCTCGTGTAATGCAATGCATTAGTTTCAATTAAACAATGAATACCATGAAAGCAAGATTCATTTTATCTCGTGTAATGCAATGCATTAGTTTCAAATAAACAATGAATGCCATGAAAGCGAGATTCATTTTTTTTATCTCGTGTAATGCAATGCATTAGTTTCAAATAAACAATGAATGCCATGAAAGCAAGATTCATTTTATCTCGTGTAATGCAATGCATTAGTTTCAAATAAACAATGAATGCCATGAGAGCGAGATTCATTTTATCTCGTGTAATGCAATGCGTTAGTTTCAAATAAAGAATGAACGCCATAAAAGCGAGATTCATTTTTATCTAGTGTAATGCAATGCATTAGTCTCAAATAAACAATGAATGCCATGAAAGCGAGATTCACTTTATCTCGTTTAATGCAATGCATTAGTTTCAAATAAACAATGAATGCTTTGAAAGCGAGATTCATTTTATCTCGTGTAATGCAATGCATTAGTTTCAAATAAACAATGAACGCTATAAAAGCGAGATTCATTTTATCTCGTGTAATGCAATGCATTAGTTTCATATAAACAATGAATGCTATGAAAGTGACATTCATTTTATTTTGTGTAATGCAATGCATTAGTTTCAAATAAACAATGGATGCCATGAAAAAGGATTTATTTTATCTCGTGTATAGCAATGCATTAGTTTCAAATAAACAATGAATGCAATGAAAGCGAGATTCACTTTATCTCGTGTAATTCAATGCATTAGTTTCAAATAAACAATGAATGCCATGAAAGCGAGATTCACTTTATATCGTGTAATGCAATGCATTAGTTTCAAATAAACAATGAATGCAATGAAAGCGAGATTCACTTTATCTCGTGTAATGCAATGCATTAGTTTCAATTAAACAATGAATGCTAAGAAAGCGAGATTTACCTAATCTCATGTAACTCAAACAATATAGTACTTAATTGAAACCACAATCAATCTAAGGCCAAAAGCCTAACCAAACGCACTTTTACCAAGGATAGGTATAAAAGACCCAGAATTTGATCCGATCATTGTTGTCAAATCAAAAAAAGATAATATAACTTTTTGACGATGAATTTGATAATCTCAGTAGAGATATAGTATAGAGCGAGAAAGGATTTGTGATGAAGTCAATCACACAATAGCTGATGTAAAGTTTAATTCATATTACGACAATAATGAAGAAGATGATGCTCAACTACCATCTCTCTAACACTCTATACAACTTTCATTACGACTTTATTACAGTGATGTTGAGAAAAAAGATTACAAAGGAATACACAAAAGTATAGTTTGAAGTAAATTCTTCTACTGGTATTACCTCTCAAGGACGAAAATCACTCCAAAAATTAATGCTGATTAATTTCGTAGTCGCATATGCAATTATCAAACACTATCTTGTCTCAAAAAGTTTACTTTGAATCAAATAAGCTTGGTACTTGGGTTCATTTATGAAACAGAAGGTGAGTACGGTAATTTTGTGAATGAGATATATTTTTATGAACGTAAAGAAGGAATTATATTTGATTCCTACAGTTGGTGAAAGAAAAATGAAGTGTAGACAGATGAACGATATAAGGTTATATTGTCATATATTTATGACAATAACATATATTTATAGTTGATAATAAGTTTCGTGAATGTCTTGATTCAGTTATTGCTGGTACAGATTTTGATACTGTATAAAATCAGTAAACAAATATTGAATAATGAAAAAAAAAACAGATCATTGATTTCCATCATATTTCAGAGACAATGTAAAATCATGATGTGGACGCACTAGAATAATATTTGATATTATAATCAAAAAACTTTGGTGTGTTGAACAATGTTACAAATACTATTATTAAATACTTCGGTCAATATAAATTTTTAATGTTGTTAATAACTAATTCTGGTGTAATTTTATGTGGAGAATAATTAAATCTGTTTTTGTTAATAATACCCGGTGTTGGTGTTTCACTTGCAGCAGTGTCTAAAACATGAACCTTGACTTGCGACTATAAAAAGTGTTTGTAAAACAGCTAGTATCACTTATAAAAAATATTTGATCAAAAACGATCATTTTGCAAGGTATAAAATATAATGCGAACAATTTAATAATATGTAATATTGACAGCATGTTAACATATAATCTACTAATGAGAGTTAGAAGTTATGAAAATGATTATCATAAATATGAGTTATAACAGTAGTATATGTTAAATTATGTCTAGCTTTAGTAATATCATTATCAATATTATATTGTCAATAGATGCCCAATATCATTCGTTCGTCATTTTCAGTTGCCAATAACCATACTAATCCACATTTTGGTGATATATGGCAACCAACATTTTTGATACAATTGCTTATTATTTTAGGTTGATTTGGGTTAAACATTTTAAATAATTTGTCTTTATTTAATCAAATCCAACATGTCGAATTGGATTATAATGATACATTAAACATATTATTTTATTGTTTAATATAAAATTTCTCGCAAAAAAGTTTCTAAACTAGGATATTCTTTCTTTGACAAATACCAACTCTTCATAATCATACAGAGGGTGGGGGTTTCTGCTCTAGAATCATCTTTTAGTTAAGAAATTCATCGTCTATCTTTACAAAACATTTGGAGGATTTTTGAGACAAAAATGTAGGAGAGGGATCTCTCATCTTCTTGTAAAAACCTTCTTGTATTTTGATCTAGGATGATGAAGAAAATGTCAGGTTAGAAGGGTCTTGGAATAAAAGCCTCATTTACTGCTGCTTTTCATAAAATAAAATGCGTGTATCAGTATACCACAGAGTCTGAGAATTTTTAGTTAAATTTTTCCATCTCAACACGTTATTGCAACTTTGTAACATAGTGTATAAATCATCTTTTAAACTTTACATAATAACTTCCAGGATTTATCTAAGCTACTTGGTGAAAGGTCACGTTAAAGATTTTCATCCTTTCCTCTCACTCTCCATAATCCACACTTATTTACGTTAACTAATAGGGAGAAAGCAGAAGACGTTCCGATTTAATTCAATTATAAATGATTTTTATTTTTGTTCAATCATCGTATAAATTAATCATAATTGAAATTCATCACTTATGAATGGAATCAATTAATCTATGAAGCATTGATTATATGTTGCTGTTGTTATTACTGTTGTTTTGGTGTTTAACGCCATTTGCAACACACGATAGTCTATAAATTGCGGCCAGTATTAATGGTGAAGTAAAAATTCGAGAAAATCCTGGAAAGACCCATAGACCCACAATAAACTACTGCCAAGCTTTCTCACATAGCCATATTGGCAGAATCCGAAACTCAAACTCACGCTGACAGAGGAGAGAAGTCAATGATCCTCTGCTATATCAAATTCCTTCATATCAACACTTTAAAACTCAAGTTACTTTTAATATATGTGATATACCTATGTATCTGTCTATATATCCCGTCTTTTAGCGTTTGTTATCGTCTGTGGCCTAGTGGTAGGAGCATCTGCCTCGAATGCGGCAAACGATGGGTTCGATCCCACCCCGAGTGATACCAAAGACTTACTAAAATATCAATAACATCTGCCTCGCTTGATGCTCAACATTAGGAAGTCCGTGTTAGGACTGGTCGACTTGATGCCAGTATAATTGGCTTGGTGGGACATCATGACAAAATTCATCAGCATGAAGCGCCAGTACCAATAGAACACTAAATCCAGATCTCTCTCTCTCTCTCTCTCTCTCTCTCTCTCTCTCTCTCTCTCTCTCTCTCTCTCTCTCTCTCTCTCTCTCTCTCTCTCTCTCTCTCTCTCTCTCTCACACACACACACAATCACCTCAAAGAATTCAACTTACGTGACCATTCGTTGCAAAGGAAAGATAATTTTCACTCTATGATTGTGTTGTAAAATATTACTCAGTTAATAATCATGCTGCAAAAAAGAAAAAAAAAATACTGACAAGCAATAGACAAAAGTCGGGATTAGAAATTATAAGCAATAGATTGATCTCTTTTTTCAAAAGGATGAAACACTATTGACGGCTGTGCTGAATGATTGAGAGAGAGAGAGAGAGAGAGAGAGAGAGAGAGAGAGAGAGAGAGAGAGAGAGAGAGAGAGAGAGAGAGAGAGAGAGAGAGAGAGTTTATTTATTTAAAGAAGCAATTTGTTTAGACTTATGAAATTACCAAGTGATATTTCGATTTATAGGCATGTTATTTTTTGAGAACCATATTAATTGGTTTCATACATAATAATAATTATATTAAGCAAGATATGTCGTTATTTCGGCTAATGTAAATTATATGTGGTTTAAATGTGATTTATATTTTTAACATAGCCTCTAACAATGTTTCAGTTATGTCGCTACAATGTTTGCATTGTGACAGTTTATAGTAATGTCTAGCACTGGGGCATCATGTCGCAGACATGTTGCATGGTGTCCCACACAGTCACATTATCCTGACACAAAGCCGAAAAGTCCTAACACGAACCTCTTAATGTTTGAGCGCAAAGCGAGGCAGCTGTCAGTACCATTTTTGAAAGTATTTGCTATGCCTCGTCCTGGGATCGAACTTGCGACCTCCGAAGGGGACGCTCTAGCCACTAGACCAAAGGAGCAGTTAGTAAATTAGAAATAAAGGGGTAATTTGAACTTTACTTTAAAAGACAATTTTAAAAGGGAAAAGGAATGAAGATTATTTGGGATTTTTTGAGACTAGTCAAACCTTTGATTGCACAGTCGCTAACGTATAAAGGGAAATAATGTATGTACGTATGTATGTACGCACGATTTTTCAGTATGTGTGCGTGAGACTGTGTGTGAGTCTGTGTTATTTGGATTTTTAGCTTAGCTTTAAACAATTTAGCATATTGCTACGATGTGTGCAGTGTGGCAGTTTATAGTGATGTCTAGCACTATGGTATTATGCTCAGACATGTAGCATAATGTCACTGCTAGTCACATTATCCTGACATTTGGCCAGCCAGTCCTAACACCATTCTGGCTAGACTGCTGTTAGTACCATTATTATAACTTTCATCTACAAAAGTAAGTTCTATTGCCTTTATGTAAGGTAATTGGTTCATGTCGATGCAATACACGTTGATATGATCTTTTTAAGAGAAAGTCTTATTTTCAGTAGAAAAATAGTTTTCATGAGGAATCACCTTATCTCACGAGTAGAGCCTGTAAACGCGGAAGAAGCATGTTAGCTTGCTTGAATATGTGCGATTTGCATACAATGTGCCTTCTTCATGAAATGATATCAATTAACATAAGACCCACATCATAGAAGGTGATAAAACCAGACACATTCAAGATTAACTGTTTAAAGCTCTTTACAAATTATTACTTCACTGTTCCAGTACGTATCAGTAGTTTACACATAAGAACATTAACAAAAACGATAAACATTTTGTTAAAAGCTAACGACGTATTTTTGTTTTATATTATAGAGTAACCAAATTTAGGAATCAATGCTATCCTAAAAACATAAAATGCTGTGTAATCTTTGTCTCGTTATGTCTGACATAGGATGTAGTTCAGAGATGCGTGATACAGTTTAAGACGCGCGCTTCATAACTCGATATTCAAACTCTTTCAAAATATATTCCTTCCGCTGTTTTTTTTACCCGTGTGTCATTTTAAAATTAGTAAATATTGTTTCGTGGATTTGTAAATAAGGATGTGTCTCCAAGTTGCATGTTTCCGTCATTGTTCTTGTCAGGGCAAACAAGTCCCCAGTGTGAGAAATTTCAGTAGACACATAAAAAGATGAAGATGTTTACTATCACGGATTTTTATTTTGAATACTCAGGGTAGTATATACAAATAGGAAAACGACTAAATGTTGAGAACGTTAGGGAAATGAATGTTTAATAATTTCATTATTATTATTATTATTATTATTATTATTATTATTATTATTATTATTATTATTATTATTATTATTCAGTAAATTTCGTTCATCTGCCCCTCCTTCGTTTGGTTAAACAACGTTTCACAGAATGAAACCATGGCATTCATCAGGTTAAATGCTTTATATTTGCAAAACTTGTTTTCGGTTTTTATTGCAATTTGAAAAAAAAAATTAAAGTAATATTGTTATAGTTGCATATTAGTAAAGTGTTTCTAACTTTTCTATAGGTTTGTTAACAAATAAAATTTAAGTTTTTTGTGTTTGATTAACTAGGGGATCATTTTAATTTTAGTTTTACTAGTTAAAATCGACAGACATTATTATATTTGTATATCCTTGAATTTCCTCCTTTTAACTCAAATCCCATGTTTAGAAATGTTTTCTATTTTTGGTGCATGGCCCTATTTTGTGCAATTATTACGTGTTAGTGGGATGAAGACATTTAATTTTCATGCAATGACGCAGATGTTGACTTATCTAATGTAAAGATTGACCACATATCTTAATAAGTATAATCAATTTAACAGTAATTAATTTTTAGAGTTACAAATATAATTAATTAAATTATACTGATCCACCGCAAATTTATGTTATTTTATATTGTAAACAATTAAACACGTTTAATACATTGTATAGATGTGCATTAATGTTTATCTAACTTTATATCCTCAGCCAATGAGAAACCTTTCTACAGCTTTATTGTCGTCGGCGAAAACAAGATAATCGTCATAGACGGCATTGTGTGGAAAATCCGGCTTCACCGACTCAATGATGGAAAATTTCTGGCCACGTCAATCAGACTAGACTCAGTACCACGGGACATGTGTTTGATGAACGCGAAGGAGATCTGTTTAATTCATGGCAACGGTCTGATAAAGTTGATGTCCATTGATGATACAGATACGTCGCGTGCTTTAACAACGACCAGAACCTTACATGTACAGGGAGTATTGGAGAGATACGATGCTGTTGTAAAATTCAAGGAAGATCTTGTTGTCACCGGTGTAAAACGGGACACGATATATTGGTGCCTTGTGTCACTTAACGACGGACATGTTGATACGCTTCACCAGATCTGTAACGGGAGCCGACGGAGTTACGTGACAACAAAGGACAATATGATTTACATCTCGTGTTGTGCTGGTGATCAATACTGTGATAATACTGGTGTTTATGGATTCGACATTTTGAATCACAGTCAATGCAAATATACATACAAACATCAATATCTACAAAAGCCGAGATCAATCGTTATAAATGAAGACGGTTATATTTTCGTATTAAATCATGACGAATGTATCCATCAACTTACAGCTACATGTCAACTTGTCTTCATTTTCAGACAGGAAATTCCATCAGGGTTGCAAACCATATTCTGGAACCACGGATGTCTTTATGTCACACACTATGGGAGTCATGATATAACTATATTAAGACCCGAGTATCAAGGTAATTAATATTTCTATGCTTAGTTTTAACATTAATAACACCATTTGTAAGACGAATTGAGGAAAATAAAGGGTGTACTAATATTCACGTGCACTTAGAAAGTACTACTCCAAAAGCTACATAAAAAAGATATCATTAGTTAAAGAAGGCGAACAATATCTAATTTGTCTAGGAAAACATGGACTATCACATGTAAATATCAGATTGCGTTAGTAAGGAAAATGACGTATTTTTGGAATACACACAAGATAACAGCGTAAGAGCCCGCTGGTGTCAGTCAGGGTATACATTTGAAGTTGATGGATGGAATGAGCAAGTTTTGTGTTTTTAAGACTGTGGTGTATTTCAGGGGTGTATTCCTTATTTTGATTTATCTGAATACGAAGGGATATAATAAGTAAATCATTCATTATTTAATTTTTTTATCTTTTTGGTCTAAAATAATCTGCATCTGTTTTCATCGGATTGATACTTTATACTTGTCACATTACTTAAGGAAATGCTAAGATTGTAATTCAAATAAATTTAATACAATAATTTTTTAAGGTATATTTGTTTTATGATGATTAACATGTATTTTTTAACTTTAAACAAGAACAAAAATATTGTTTAAGCTAGATGCGAGTGAAATGTTTAACTCCACCAATTAGAGATTTATCTATATTTTTTAAGTTGGGTGGCAACAATTATGATGTAAAAGGCAGGAAAAAAGAATATCTACCCCACATAATGTTTATAGTTTTTATTTTCTGACTTATCAAGTTAGAAAATGTGGCAAATAATACTATGACAAAAAATTAAATCCAATTAAATAAAATATTATAAAGCTGAGTCTGACTTCTGTTAAGCAGATTTTCTGAAATAATTGGCTTAAGCAAAGTAGTCTCAAATCTTGTTGAGGAAGAAACTCAAACTATTTCATCATATTGTGTGATGGTTTCAGTACTCAGCAGGGTGAACAAGAAGGAATACTTATTCTGCATTCCTGTAAATTCTTTTGGCCAGGAGGTCGTCGCTCCATTAGAATGGCTCCTATTTTTACACACTGAAGAACGTTTGCTGCTTTTATTGTGTTAGTTTTCAGGGTTCAGTCTCAGATGAATTGAAATGGGACTGATGGCAAATTGAAAGTGTCCATGTCTGATTTTGGTAGGTCAGTATTTCATATGGTATTTGGTTATTG